GCCGCAGTGCGCCTGCGCCGGCGGGAGGGCCCGGTCTGCGCGAGCGCGCTGTGGGCGTGAGTCCGAGTCCGAGTTCCTCGGCCCGGGGCGGCGGCGAAGGTCGGCCCCCTAGGTGGTCCCAGACGCGTCCACGCCGCGCGGGGGTCCCGGCCGGCCCGATCACCCCCAGTGCTCAGCATTTGAAGGGTGCTGTGCTAAGTGACCGCGTGGTCCCTCTCCATGCCCTTCGGAGATCTGTTGGGCTGTCCCCCCGGAGGGCGTGGTGGGGTCTCCGGTGACCACCCCCCTGGCAATTCCTTTTCCACGGGGGTGTGACGCAGCCTCCCAGCCTCTGGGCGCCTAACGCTTTTCAAGATCCCGTGTGTCCACCGAGTGGGGAAAGCGCTGACTGCGCGGAGCTGTGATGCCCCTGGAGCAGCCCGTCCTTAGTGTCAGACTTGCGTGGGGACAGCCCTGCCATCCCCCGCTGGAGAATGTAGTCTCCGGAGAATAAAAGGCTAGGGCAATGGTGTTCAAACTGCAGCGCTTTGGAACTGTTTTGTTTGTTTATAAAACACTTCCTTTAATAGAAGTGCTGTATGGGATCTATGTTTTAAATTGAAATGGTTCTAGAATTAATTTGCTTCCATGAAACTTGATACCGTGCAGGAGACTGGAACCTCAGGATGTTTCACACCACTGCTCAAAAATCTTGAGATTGAACAGCCAAATTTTGTTAAATATGTTGTCTCTTAACCAAAGCTGCTTCTTTCCCAGAAAGCAGAATATGAGGAACTCACTTAAGAGCTGCATCCCAGGGTGTTTTTTCCCTCAGATATACAATGTTCTTGCATGACAGGCTCTGTATCATGAACCCAGAGACCAGAATTGTACTGAAGGCCATATGCAGGCAGGCCAAATAGAACACGAACATTACTTATCTTGAGAACTTGGTCATGAAAGAAGAAAAAGCGGTGGAGAAACTTCCAGAAGTGAGGAGGTTATCAGAAATTGTCTGCTGGGTTAAGGGAGAGTCCTGATCTGACACCCTCTGCTCATTGTTACATCGAGAAAAAAGGCACTGATAAACCTTCATCACTGATTGACTTAAACTTGAGCTTTTACAAATTTCACGGCCCAAGTGCTTTTTCAGAAGAGAAAAGTAGAAGCCATTCTGTTTTAATAAAAATCACTGCTTTGTGTTATCTTCTTTTGTTTTGTAATAAGGAAATTTTGATTTTTTTAAGTTCTCCGAAACTTAAAGTCATATCGGAGAATAGGCCAGTTTAATTATCGATCTTAGAATAATCCTAGAGGCAAACAGCTGAAACCTGATGGAGTATCTGACAAAGTCGACCTGTAGGATGCCGGCAGAAATGTGAGATTCCTTATTGTGAGGGCCTTTCCTTATAGAAATGAGCAGAGATTAATTTTAATATTCTTGATCAGTGATTCTTGGAGGAAAAAATGTGGTTATATGGATTTAAATACTATTTTCAAAAGGAAAATGGACAATTTTGCAATATGTATAATATCTTGAAATAATAAGTAATGATTAGAAAACCTTGGGCATTCTAAGTAGAAATGCCTAAGATAGCTTAACTTTGAAGCAGATAAATGGTGAATTGTAGATTTTTAAAACAAAGACATAGCTGAAGAAAATGACCACTAGTGACCTGGCCAATGATGGAAGCAGTAGGCTAATCAAGTTTTCATGGCAGGTGAAATAAGATCAGTGGCTGAGAAGCATTTAGATGATAAAAATTAAGGTACAAAGTTATTTCACAGATGATTCAATGTGTACAACAATCAGGAGAAAATACAGGGGAAATGCTGCCTATGCATGTAGTAAAACTCAGTTAATGAGTACAAAATGAGAGAGACATGCCTGAATAAAAAGTCCCACGAAGGAGGAGATCTGGGATGTGGATCGTAGGCGGGATTAATTAAAAGGTAGAATCCTATCCAGGGAAATGAGTAGGCCCCTAGTCGTGCTAGTTAGGCCTCCCCCGAAGTCCTGAGAGCTCCTCCAGGGGAGTGAGGTATCTGGGAAATGTCGGGCCCCGATGGGGAGAAGACCCCCCAATGCCCTTTTCTAGAGAAGAGGAACACGGGGGCCTGGGTGGCTGTGCGGGTCTGCGGGTCTCTGAGGGGCCGTCTGGCCAAAGGAGACCTGTTCACAGCCAGTAAGAACTCAATATGACAGAGGTCTGCACAATAAAAGGGTGGTCTCTAACACTGTGGCTGAGGGCAAAAGGGGAAGTGACAGCTGGAACGCCTGGTAACATCCCCTTGAGGCATCCTACAAAGGCATTGTGCAGAGTTCCAACTCAAAGGGTTTTGTTTCAGAAGAAAACGAATCCCAGTGTTAATAGAATGAAACAAATCCTTCGACCAGAAATAAAGATAGACCCAAAGACTCAAAAAAATTTTTTAAATCTTGAATTAGAAGTTCAGCAAAGTGGCCAATTATAAAGATACAAAAAACAGACAAACTAAAAAACCCAGTAATTTTCAGATATACTAAACAATAGTTATAAATGTTAATATTTATTGAGCATTTGCTATGTGGCAAGCATTGTGCTAAGCACTTGATATGCATTAGAAACACATGATGGAAGATTCCCAATCTACATTAGCAAAAGAACATTTTCAATACCTAAATGTAATATGACATCCCAGTGGAACTTCGTGGGAATTGACAAAATGGTTGAATAGTTCAGCTGGAAGGATAAACATTTGAGAACAGCCCAAAAGAAGAGTAATGAGGGAGAAACTGTGCTCCCAGAAAGCAAAACATATTATCCAGGCTCCATAATGACAACTACATGGTCCTGGCTGAGATCGATGGAAAATAATAGAAAGTAAAGAAACGGCCCCAAGCAAGCAGAAGAACTCCATCAGATATCCAGCCAGTAGGTGCACTCTGTGCGAGTACTGTTTGCTAAATATTTTGAACATCACTCCTGTAAGGATTTAAAATATAATAAAGGCAGCTTTTCAAATCAGTGAGAAAACAGTGTGATAGAACCCTTGTTAATAATTTGGAGAGAAAAGAATAAAGTTGGATTCCTACCTTATCAAATGGAATAAAGATTTAAGTGTTAAAAAATAAAAGCCATAGAAATACTAAGAAAAAGCTGTCAGTGGACATCTGTATAGGGTTATGGAATAGAATACCACCAACAATTGTAAAGGGGAATATTGATAAATTTGACTATGTTACAATTAAAATTTGGGGTACAATCAGCAAGGAACTAGATAAATCCCAATTGTAGCATATTCATACAAGGGAATATTACTCAGCAATAAAAAAAAGGATGAACTACTGATACAGATGAATGGATGTCAAATACATCATAATAAATGCCTGATACAAAAGATTATATACTCGATGACTCCATTAATATGAAATCCAGGAACTAGCCTAAAGAATCTATAGGGATGTCAATCAGAAGCCTGGTCCTCTTTGAGGGTGGGGGGCAGGCAGAGGACCGACTGGGAAACCTGGCGTAAGAGAGCTCTCCAAGGCAATGGAGATGACTATACATACATCTTGACTGGGGTGGAAGTCACTTAGCAAAACTCATGGGATTGAAGAGCTGTGCCTTTTATAGAGAGATTTTAACCTCAATAGAAAAAGTGCTGGTTGCTGTAGCTGCCCCCCAATATGGGAGTGGGGTGGGGAGGAATGGAACCTCTTGCTGCATTAAAAACACAAATAAGTTTAAAGACAAATGATTGGAAGGTCACCATGTTTCAGAAAAGCTTGGTCCCCTTCACAGGTAAGCAGCTTTCAAAGAAGAAAAAGATGAACATTCCAAAAGCAGGATGGGCAGGAACATGAAGAGGGAACACAAAAGGAGAAATGCCCGGTAAACAGGACAAAAAGTTCCACTCCCTAATAATAAGAGAAGTGTGATGCTTTATCTACCTATGTGATAAGAGCAAATGTGAAGTAAACACTTTTACACATTTTAACAGCAGGTGTCAACGGGGAGAGACCTTTAGACGGCTACCAAACTAGACACACAAATAAACCTGAAAAGTTTGCATATCCTCTCATCTCATGACTCCACCTCTAGAACTTCATTCTAATGAAATAAACATGGATGTTGATAAAGATTTAGCTAAAAGTGTCCAACATTGATCGGAAGATATATGGATGTCTGTATCCGTATCTCCAAGTTTACAAAAATAGGGGATTTCATATCATGGGAAGAAGTTCGCGTATAGTTTTAAGTGGTAAGGAAGACTGTTAAACATCATCACAGTTTGGCACAGTTCTTATAATGCGAACGTGCACAGAAGAGACAGGAAGATGTCCGTCAGAACAGTCCAGGGCTTTCCCCTAAGTGTACGGGATGCTTTTGTTCTCCTTTTGCTCATCCCAGCTTTCTGGATTCTCCAGTGAACATGGATGGCTTTCATGTTAAAAAACAAAAATTCTCCAAAAGGACATGAAGTTAACCCAGAAACACGCGGGGCAAGTAGCTGAGAGAATCTGTCAGGCTGGTCAGTGATGTGCGGGGCTGCAGGACACGTGGGGAGAAGGGGCCAAGGTAGAGGGGAGGCAGCAGAGACGGATCAAGGTGTGTGTTTGGGCGGCGGGGGGAGGGTAGCTCAAGGCTCATCTTGAGATTTCCGTCTCCTCCAGGTACCTTTCCTCTGCAGCTTGAAGCCCCACCCGCAAGCCTCTCTCCCCAGACTCAGTGCAGACAAGGAGGCTCAGCCAGGCAACTGAAGCCAGTAGTGAGCAGAGTCCTGAACCACCATGGACCAGAGAGCTGGTGTGGAGGCTCACCGGATCCTCCTGGCCACGTGTTGGGCTTGGATCATTGATTAGGTGGAGGAGACCTTGACTGGGCCGGTCCAAGCAAAACCTGCCAAAGATGGAGATCCCGTCTTGTTTGTTTTCCCTTGTTATGTGTTTTGAGAGACAATTTGCAGGTCCGCAGCATATATAACAGGAAGTAGGTGCAGTTGTGGGAGGGGGCGAGGAGCGCGGAAGTGTAGAAACTGCAGGAGGAAGGGGGCCCGGAGGCTGGAGGCTGGAGGCTGAAGGCTGGAAAGGGCTGGCGTCAGAGGCCATTGACATTTCAGGGAAGCAGAGAGGTGAGTGGATGGGAGGCGAGGATATCAGTTTGAACGTGACTGTATTTTGAGAAATTGAATTGCCGCGTGTCTTAGCCTCGGTCCCCCAGAGCAGAGCCTGACACAGGGCTTAGGTGCCAGCAACTGCTTGGGATTGTGGTCCCAAGGGGCAGGGGTGATGGAAAGGGGGGCTGGGGACGGGGATGGAGAGGGCAGGAGTGTCGGTGCCAGGCTGTGCCGTCCAGCTGGCCAGAACTGTCCACCTGGGGGGAGGGAAGAGCAGAGTGCTCTCCTGGGGTAGAGAACCCTGTGTGCGTGCAGGAAACAGGTTCTGCCGTTTGGACAGGGAATCCTAGGAATCCTCCTCCCTGGTTACCTAGAGCAGGATCTAGAACAGGGAGCATGGGCCCCAGGTGAGTACCACCGCTCAGCCCCACACACTTCCCACCCTGGGGGATAGATCTGCTGGAAGAGGGCCAGAGTGGGTCCTGGAGAGCGTGAGCCCAGGCCAGGGGCCCCTCTTCTCAGGTCGAAGGGAGGGTCTGAAAAGCTCAGGCAGGAAAACCCTTGACCGGGAGGGGACTCCAAAGGGAAAGGGGAGAGGTGGGTACAAAGAGAGACTTGTTTCTAGGTGCAGGGGCAGGATGCTGGGGATGGCACCTTAACTGTGTAATAGTTAAGGTCACAACTGAGACACAGGGGCCAGCACAGGCTGGTAGCAATAACAACAGGCAGCGTTCGCGTGCCTGCTACAAGCCTGGCGTGTCGGAAACAGCTCAGGTGGGTGTTGGAAAGGGGGCTGAAAGACATGGCCAAGTGGTGCCAAGTGCCCGGCCAGAGCCAGAGGTGGTGCATTTGTGATGGCTCCAGGCCTTTTGTTTTTGCAAAGAACCTGTATGGTTGGACGGATGCAGGCTGGGATGAAGTGCCAAGGAATGAGGAGGCTGAGTGTTGGCCACAGTGGGGGATGTGACTCACTACAGGGTCAGGAGGGCACGAGAGATAGATGAAGGGCAGAATGGAGGAACTGGGGGTTTCATGAGCTGTATCAGCAGGTGGGCTCAGGTTAGGGGCAGAAAGAACTGGAGATGTGGAAGGTTATGGAAAGATGTTGTTACTTGCAGTTTGATTTCAGCAGCAGAGGAGAGGGCAGAGAGCAGGACTCAGACAACCTGAAAGCATTCTCCTTGCAAGAGCCCTAGGAAGGATGCCTAGAAGATAAGATTTTTAAAACCACATGGCTAAGTGCACAAGAAAGTAAGGGAAATCCCCAGAGGCCCAAAGTGAAGGAGGAAATAAAGATTAGCAAGCTCCTCAATGCTGTCTTAATTAGGAGGAACCCTTCGCTGGGGCTCTCTATCTCAGGGCTTTGGTTCCAATGCCCAGCTGGAGAGTTGGGTGTGAGGCTTCTGTGTGGAGCTGGGGTTTTCAAGCTCTGTGTCCTTGGTGAAAGGACAGACCAGGGAGAAATCTGCCCACTGGAACAGAGACCAAGGAACAGCATCTCTCTCCACCTTGGCTCTTGGTGGGAAAATTGGTCCCCTGGGAACTTGCTGCAGGGCTGCCCTCTCTTGGGTTCGAATTCACACCACCTGCAGGATCTTGGAACCCTCAGGCCAAGAAGGTCACAAAAAAGTAGTCCGGGGGTGGGGTACTCTTGGGGGTGTCTGGCAGAAGCCAATAGCTCTAACGACAGGAACACTGCAACCCACAGCCAAAGCATCATCAGGATGAGCTCACAACCTAAAATTACAAAATGCGAAGGAAGTAGTTCGCCATGCGCAACAGTCAGCGTACAAATGAAGAGCAGGATCGTACTTCCACCCAAGAAATTGAGGTCCTAGAAGAGAGCTTAGTATACGTGTGTGTGAGAAATAACTAGGGAAGTTAAGGAAGAATAAGCAACAAAAGAGCAAGACAAGAAAAGGACAAGATGAATCTTTGAAACGAGTAAAATTTTCAGATAGGCAGAGCGGAGTAATTAAAATTTAAAATTCAGTGAGGAAGATAAAAATCACATTAGAATAACAGAAAGCATCGTTAGCAAACTGGAAGATAGCTCTGAGGAAATTATCCCAATGAAGACCAGAGAGAAGAGGAGATGGAAGCAGAGGTTTAGGAGGAGAGCGGGAGCTGCATCAGTGCCCTGAGCCCATCTTCTCTGCTGGGGGACGCTCCCAACCCCAGCTGCTGGAAGAGTTTGCCTGCTGGTGGCTCACAGCTGTGTCCTTCTCCAGAGAGCTGTCCTTGGTCAAAGGGAGTCACCTCACCTGGAAATACTTGGGAGGTTACCCCCTCCTCTCCCGGAGGGGGAGCCCCCAAGGCCAACATCTGACTGATAGCAGTAGAAAAGACCAGCAGTCCCCCCACTGAGTTCCCCATGGGATTGGGCCAAGCTGAGGCTTGAGCCTAAATCAGAAGTCTATTAAGTTTGTCGCCTGCCCTACTGTGCTACCCTCGGAACAACTCCTCAATGAATCATTTGCACAAGCATCCTTGCCTCCTTCCAGCTCTACTTCTTGGGTATCTGATCCACTGCGAGGCATTCCAGCAGGAGAGAGTGGAGGAGGGGCAAGATAACAGTGAGAAGTTCCTAGAACTAATGAAGGAAGAGGATCCTCAGATTCAGGAAGTCCTCCAAGTCCTGAGGATGGGAAATAAGAGTAATTACACACTGTTCATTCGATGGTAGTATTGCTCAATGCCAACAAGAAAGAAGCTTTCTGAAAAGAAACCCAAAAGAAATGACAGATTCCCTCCTAAGGAATGACAGTTGGACTGATCGCCCAGTCTTCCAGACTTCTTAGTACCCCACGATAGAAGCCAAAATCATGTTTTCAAAGTGCTAAGAGAAAAATATGGATTAGCCTACAATTCTGGGCCAGCTAAGCTTTCATTCAATGATGAAGGTAAAATCATGACACTTTCCAGACAAACACTGAGAGCATCTACCACTGAAAGACTCACTGACAGAGCTAAGCAAGGACATTAGACCAGGTAGCAGACATCGTGGGTGCCCCCCCACCACAAATCCGTGGCTACTCACAGCTCAGGACCAGCAGCACCCAGGGGTCCCACTGCTGCACCTGCTGCCTTCTGCCTGAGGGCAGCCTGGACATGCTAAGAGATGGTGCCCTGGACCAACTTCTAGTGACCAAGAGGAGTGGGTACCACCAGGCTCCTCTCCTCACAGTGGTGACACTCTGAGGGGTGCTCTGGGCGTTTTCCAGAGGCCCCATCAGGATGAGCCCCAGTTGCCCTAAGCGATGAGCTGTGCATTCAAGCACACTGTGTTGGCCGCCTTCCTTCCCTCTCTCAGGTCCCCCCTCCTCTATCCCATGCCCGGGGGTCACCTCCCCAAATAAACTGCATGTGCTCAAACCCTTTTCTTTGGGACAGGCGGGGACCCAACCTGAGACACGGCACCAGAACTGGTCCTAGGAAGCTGACCTTCAGGATGGGGTCCTCTTGCTGGTGGGACGTGATGCAGCCGTAACGCTGGTGTGTGCAGGCACCGCAGTTACTGAGATTGGCATCCTAGGGGCACAGAGCAAAGAGGAAGAGAGCACTCTGAGTAATGTGGGGATCCAGCACTTGGGAGATGGGGAGCAAAGTGCAATTGTAAGGATGGTGGAGTTGATTTCATGGAAAGAAAGAAAACAAAAGGCCAACCAGCCAGTGGACGCCTTGGGGCATCGTGCAGAAGGTGGCACTGGAAGAGGGCCAACTGTGCCCCCAAATCAGCCTGACCTCTGAGCGCAGGGACGTCAATGTTTCTGCTGCTAAAGCCAAGAGGCTGGCGGGGAAGGAAGAGATCCTGAACGCAGAGGGTGCCGGAGAAAATGTGCCGAGAACCTCAATCTCTGCATTCTCCTAAAAGGAGCAGCCTCGCCCCGGGCAGGAGGAGGGGCCTCTGAAGCCTCAGCTGGCACAATGCCCCGCCCCCCACTCCGTACCCAACCCAAGACCCGCCTCACCAGCCCTCTTTGCTTCTAGAGCAAAGGTCAACTCCACACGTGGGCCGGACTGAGGGCTCACAGCTCCCACTGCAGGAGTGGACTCCGATCACGTGGGCAGGAACGGAGACCTTGAGGGTGCAGAGCAGCGAGAGCAGAGCAGAGCTCTCCTCGCACAGAGGCGGGGTGTTGACATGGGGTCCTCTTCTGCCACTCAGGGTGCAGCATCCTGGTAAGGAGCCAGAGCCGTTAGGAGGCCAGAGTGTCCCCTGGAAACGTGGGGTAGTGGCCACCAGTGGAAGAGGGATGGGGCCAGACCTGCTGTGGCTCCGAGAGGTGGGCAAGCTGGAGAGGGTTTTGGGGCTCTGAATCTCAGGGCCACACAGGGATTCTTCTTCCACCCCAAGTCTCTCCCACAGGGGCTCTGGGTTCACAGACCCACCTTGGGGTCTTTCCCCAGTTCCATTCATAGTAGGTGGTAAGATTTGCTTTGTGGCCCAATATGTGGTCATGGCCAGTGTTCATCAATGTTCCGTATATGACTGAAAAGAAATGCTAATTTAGGAGTGCAGAAATCTTTCGATACTTGAACTTTAGTTGAAGCTTGGGATGGGCTTACCTCGAAGATGACAGAGCCCTTCCCTTGGTTCCCTCACGTGTAGAATAACAGTAGTCATGGTAGGAAAGGCCACAGGGAAGCCCTTGCACACGCTTCCCTATCCCTTTGCCCCTTGACTCCTGCTTCTGCCCCCTGCCCCATGCCCCCTGCTCTGGCCAAGGCCATACGTCACCTGAAAAGAAAATGCCAAGCAAGAAATTGTAAAAGTGTGAGTAAGTCAAAGCCGGCAGGAGCTGTAGCAAGCAGAGATATAAAATAAAATGATAGGGGCTTTCCGGTGGAGGACAACGAGGTGGAGCTGTTAAGGCAGCAGGGGACACTGGAACTTAGGCATTTGAAGATCCTCATATTGTCTGAGGGGTTTAACTTTAGATTTTGTTAAGTGAAAAGTATTTGTTACAAATTTTAAAGAAAACACGTAAAGACTTCAAGAGAATATACTACTT